ACACACATAAACACACTCCTCCTCCGCTGACTTTCTCTGACGTTCACAAACACATGTCGCATGAACCGCAGAAACTGAACCGGTGAACAGGCGAGATATCTCAGGCGTTTGGCCGCTTCAGCTGGACTCTCTCTGACATCCGCCTGGCGCTGTACAGAGACACTCCCATCCCCACCGCGGCCATCGTCATGGCGATAGGATCGATGAGGCTGCTCTGCGGCTGAATCTGGACCTCACCCGACATCTGCCTCTGTGGACGAGGTGGACACACAGGTGAAGAAAGGCTGTTAAAATATTCTTACTCCTCACTGAGTGTTTTCCTTTCAGTCACCTATAGGGACTGCTATAGTGAGACACTAAAGCTTTCAGTGAATGCTCCACTTGGGTAATAATTCATCTGGCTGATGACAGCTTTAAATGTTCACGCTGTCCAATAAAGTTAAATTCAATAAAACAAAGGAAAGGCCCCAGAAGGTGCTTTAATTTCCACACCTTAAATGAGACTGATAACCGGGACGATAAATGTGATGCTTACATCATATATACCTTCTTTAGTTGGGTTTAGGAAAGGTCGTGGTTTGGGGTAAAATTAACCCTTTTACCACTGATGATGATGAGTTGGAAGTGACGGATTCATCTCATCAATGTGTGTCAGGGCACAAATGCTTGCTTTGACAAAACAGCACTAATAACGGTAATAAAAATGTGTGGGCATAAAGAACACAAATGAATCCTGATCCCTTTATTTTCCTGGTAACATTTCACTAATGTAAAAATAACCAACACAAATGACCAAATCGTGATCTCGAATCAGTCCTCACACACCCTCCATAACCGACTCCATCTCCCCGTGGACCAGCACTATTTCTCGTTTATTATTAATAAATACCCTCTAACTGGATCTTAGTTTGTTTCTTTACATTGTCATTCTGTATTTCTTTAGTCTTTTCAGTCTTGAGGTCTTTCTTCGAGTTACTGTATATATCAGAGTTTATTAGTTTGCTCAGATTTTTTCCTCATATTAAGTTTACGTTTGTGTTTCACTATTTGGTTATGATTGCTTACTTCCTGTTCTACTTTATAAGTCATCTTCCGTGACTCGTAATACATTTTACGTCCTCCCCTGTGATTGTGCTGATTGTCTGCACCTACTTCTTGTTTTTCACTGCTGTGTTCACATCCCCGATTGCATTTCTGTGTATACACAGCGCCGTCTCACCCCGCAGTCCTTTGCCTCACTGTCTCTTCTGCATGTCTTCAGTTAGTTTTCCATTTTTTTATTTTCAGAGTGGATTAATAAAATCTAATCATTGTTAAAGTAACAAGTTTTAAACCCTTTCCAACTTCACTACAGTAGCAAACATCATAACCTGTCATCTGTGCATCTGTTGGACACGCCCAGGAGTCTGCATAACTCTACCTCCTTACCACCAGACACAACCTGCTTCAATGCAGTTTTTTTCAACTACTTTAATATAGCTTAAATTAACAGTATATGAAGGAATTAAATTAGACACAAAAAGTGTGATTTAATCGCCCGATGGGCCAATGGAGGGAAAACTTTTCCTAAAACCACTGATGTGTCTTTGATCTGTGAGCGATTAAAGATCAAATTGATATAAAGTAAAGGCTAAAGAAGAAGTCACTCATTTTTTATGAAGGTAAACATTAAATCTACTCACCTACCTCACCACCATTTTTGGTACTTTTGAGAACTGAGCAGGACGACAGCATCAGTTATTTTTCTGTTGCTGGAGTCTGAACAGCTTATATAACATAAACCCTCCAGAGATGGAGCTTT